GTCAAGCCCTTTTCCAGTCCTTGACTGGCTGCCTTCCACATCTCTGGGTGTCCAAGGCCAAGCATGTGTGACATGATGCATATAGCTGAGGAGGAACTTGGTGCAGAGCCCTTGGAGGTCCTGCACTCCTAGGTGGCTTAAGCAAGCAGGACCAAATGTGGCTGGTGATGGGCCTGACTGGCTTCAGGACCAGGTCTGGCTGCTACACCACTGGTGGCATGCTGTGCTAGCAGCAGAGTCTGGCAAGATGCCTCAAGTAGAGAAGTGCTACAAGGCAGGAACATCTTAAGAAGGTCAGCAACTCTTGAGGATGCCGTCCCAGGAGAGAAGAAGGGGAAAGGGCTTAGTCAAAAGATCTGTGTGCCACTGATGTGGCATAACACCAGCTTCTAGGAGGTTCTCCCCTCCCCCCACCCCGCCAACTTCCTTGTACCAGTGTGAAACCAAACCTTTGCGAGTGAGGATGGAGGAAGAAGGGCAGTTGTTGCTACACACTCTTTGCAAGGCCAAACGGGCTCTGCACTGAGAAAGCTGCACAAGTGACAGTCTTAGCTTCTCCTCCAGAAAGGGAGCCAAATCTCAGCACCAGTAGGGTATCCTCCTTTCACACCAAAGTCTTGCTGCATGGAACTAGTGTGAACTAGCTGATGCACCTTGAGGTGGATTTGAAGTGTGTGAGGTGATGAACGTGCAGTCCCCATGCTTTTTGTTTTCTTTTTTTTTTTTCAAAATTTTTAACTCTCCCACCTGCCAGCATTTTTTGGCATTTGCAAGCCAGGTCCCCAGATTTGAAAGAAACCTGTGCAAAAATACACCCACTTTCATTCTTTTACACTCCCCACCAGGAACTTGTTCATTTTTCATACAAGCCTATGAAGAGGCAGTTGTATCCAACAGGCAAATGACAGCTACCACAAGGCTGGCCAAGAACAGGCCAGCCACCCAGAGAGGCATCTTTTGGGTTTGGCTTTCAGGGACACAGGGGTACCCTTCACTTCCCTTCTCAGGGAGTTCAGAGCTGATACTCCCAGCAGATGGGCAGCCACTCAAAATAGCCACTCAGCCATTTGCATGTTCACGCAATCGTTCATGACCTGCTGAGGGGACACCAGGGCTATTATGGTGTCATTTCGCACGGGATGGGTGCGCTGCTGGGATGAGGGTGCCACCACTGTTCACCCCACTCCACAGGGCCCCCATGGGAGTAGTCCCAGGGTGGAGGTGGAGGTGGGAGAGGGCAAACACCGCTGCCGCTATTAGAGGCAGTGATTAAGACTGTCCTGCAGAAGAGCAGAGTGGCGCAGCGGAAGCGTGCTGGGCCCATAACCCAGAGGTCGATGGATCGAAACCATCCTCTGCTAAAATTTTTTTTTTTTCTTTTTTTCCCGGCCTGTTCCCACCTCGCTTTTGCTGCTGAGGACGCCGCTACTTCGCTGCCTCCTTTCCTCCCCTCCCCAAATACGCGGCGCCGCACCCGCATGGCACTGCAGGGCAAGCCGGGAAGAGCAATTTCAGCGTGGCCGGTTAGCTCAGTCGGTTAGAGCGTGGTGCTAATAACGCCAAGGTCGCGGGTTCGATCCCCGTACGGGCCACTTGTACCTCTACTTATTTTTTCCTTTCCTCATGATCTTTCCTCCATTTTGCACAGCTAGGGCCAACCCAAGTAATTCAAGAGCCCGCACGACCTTCATTGGCACCTCGCAGCCCTCGGGCGTGCGGCATGGAGGCAGTAAGGCAAAAAAGGGGGCGGGGGGGAAAATTGCTAGCAGAGGATGGTTTCGATCCATCGACCTCTGGGTTATGGGCCCAGCACGCTTCCGCTGCGCCACTCTGCTCCTTGTTGGAGCACCTTTCCACTGCCTGCTATAGAGACAGCAGAGACCGTGCTATCTGCATCCTGTCACCTGCGTGGGATGCTGCCGCAGGGGACCATAAAAGCCACTCCACAGAGACCCACAGACAGCGTGATAGCTAAGAGGACCCCAGCCCGTTCCTTCTGCAGCAAAGCCTGAGCCCTGCCTCTCCTGCACACCATGCTCCATGGTGGCAGTGTGCGAACAGAACCAGGCAGACCAGCCTGAGCCCTGCCTCTACCCACCCCTCTTCCCCCACTCCAACATCCCCATCCCATATCCCACCCAGTCCCTGCCCGAGAGCCCCTGGCAGCAGCACCAGCACCCACAGCCCCAGCACACCTGCACCAACGCCTCGCTGCAACCCCAGAACCTGCACAGCTCTGCACCAATGCCTCGCTGCAACCCCAGAACCCGCACAGCTCTGCAGGTCCGGGAGGAAATGGGGATGGGGTTGAGAGGGGTCAGACGTTGTGCTGGGGGTCAGAAATGGGGCTGAGGGTCAAACACAGGCATGCAGCTCTGAGGGTTTCAAGGATGTGGTTGGGAGTCAGATACGAGTGGGCTGGGGGTCACATGCAGGGATGCAGCCATGACTAGGGTCAGATGTGAGGCAGAGGGTCAGACATGGGGCTGGGAGTCAGTCTCAGGGACGTGGCTCTGAGGGGATCAGACATGAGAGTAGGACAGGGAGGAAAACTCCATCATGTCCCTGCCCCAGACAAGGCCAGGAGGACAGCTGTGGATATCCCCGTTGTCTCTGAGCAGGTCCCCAAGGATAACTGATCCCTGCAGCCCCCTCTACCTTCCCCAGACCACACAGATCCTGGGGCCAAGGAGCTGGCCTGGTTTTTGGCTGCCCAGCCCAAAGGTAGGCTGGGAAGAGGCTTGAACGGTCCTGGGTGAGAGGCTGGGATGGATGTGGGCAACACAGCTCGCCCAACTCCCATACACCCAAGGCCATCATAGTGGAGACACCAGGAAAAATTACTGAAGGACTTTCCTCTGCAGCAATACTGGCCTGGACCCAGCATGGACCAGCCTCATCGCCCACCAGTAACAGCCTGTGATGTTGTATCCCTGCTGGGACTCAGCACTGCCATCCCAGGGCCCTGGCGCACCCTAGCACTGGGAACAGGGAAGCACTGGGGCCAGGGTACTGTAAGGTTGAGCTGCGCATGCACCCCCACTGCTAAACGGGCTTGCTTGCTCAGGTTCGATCAAGATTCAGACCTGCTCATTCCTTTGCCACGGTCCTTTCTGATGAACCTTGTCAAAATTTTTGCAAAACAAAGGTTTCGGTCAGAAGAGACAGAGTTAACCATCAGTATTGCTAAAATCCAAGCGTCTCACCACATTCTTCCTGGAGAACAAGTCAGAAAGAGCCACCCTGCAACAATAAAGCATTCTTCATACTTACTCATTCCCTAAACATTTGACTGTTAATGCTAGATACCCAAATCCATGCATTAAGCTCATTCCTCCATAGTACTGTGAGTATGCTGCCATGGTTTAATGTTGCATGCTGTTGCTAATCCAATTGTTCAGCAACCAGCCCTGCCATCCAGAAGTGGCATTATTTTCGCAAACAAGGTCACTATAACCATCATAGGGAATGGGGGAGTTTCTGTAGGTCCACATACCTGCAATGCAGTTCATTTACATCAAGCAAACTTACATCATCCTCATTTGTGCCTGCAAAGCCTAAAGCACTTCAAGGGGGCCCACAAGCAGCAAGGCTTTGTTCCTTGTTCAGCAAGTTGGAGAAATATTTTATGGCTATTTTGTAGACACATCCGAGATTTAAGGCCATCCAGGGAGAGAAATGAGCCAGGCAAACCAAACTCTGCCTACAAATCCTAACCCATGATCCAGGGAGATGCCAGGTTCCCCACTTGGTGATCTTACAAAAGAACCCCTCTTTTTGTGGCTCTTCAGCATAAAGGTTACAGGTCCTCAGTGATAGAAATTGAGCCATCAAAGAGCGGACCTCAGCATTTGCACCACTTTGTCCAAGATCTCTCTACTGCTTTTTTTAATGAACAGCTCTGAAGAACCCACGATCTGTGCCACTCTCCCCAGTTGCTGAGCGCTCCTCCTTCATGCATGGTGCAAGAGCAGGGCAGCTGGAGAGGACTTGGAGATAAAAGGGCTTTGAGCTACTGGGCTGAGGCAGTAGCATGATGATGATGATCTGGGAGGAAGCTGACCTCCACTTGCAGAGAAAGCCCAACAGGGACAATTGTGATCACAGAAGGGCTCTGCCCAAGGCTGTCTGCCCTTCCCACCATGCCAAGGAAACACCAAAGATCTCATATTCCTCTGGTGACCCTTCTTGCACCACAGCCTAGACATTTGTCCTTCAGTATAGAGCTTCCTGACACTAACCCTTGACCATCCAACCTCATACCACGTTCAATTCTACCAAGCAGCCCCTTACTGATGGTGTTAAGCAACAGCAACCCCTGAGGAAAGCTGTATGCAACTGGCTGCTAGGTGGACTTCCAACTTCTGACTGCTACATATGAGGAGAGCAGTCCGAATAGTTTTCTACTGATCTTGTAGTCCACCCATTCCAGCATCTCTCCCCAACATGGCTACAAGGACACTATGGGAGACCATGCTGAAAAGGCCTCCTAAAGTCAAGGAAAATTACACCTACTGTTCTCGCATCATCCACCAAGGCAGTCATCACACCACAGAAAGCAACCAGGTTGGGCAGAAGGGAACAGTGGAGAACCCCTCCTCCACCAAGGTGCTCCAAGAGCTCAAAAGCAACACCAGTTCTGGGGATGCCTCGTTTGCTGGGCACCACCATCTCCCCACACATGTTCAAAACAGCTAACATTTTGAAGGAACAGGACACAAAACCACCCCCTGAGCACTTTTATTCATCTAGATCGTGTGGAAGAGAGTATAGGACAGTAGGTCCAAGAAAACTGGATACGAGGAAAGGAGAAATGCAGAGCTGCAGATTGTGGAGCGTGCAACAGAGCTCAGGAGAATATGGTGGACAAAGATCTGGACTTGGAGACAGATGGCTAGATGCAATGTAGGAGGTATTCTAAGCTAGAGACGCCTAAGGATAAATGGCAAAACAAATGAAGACATGGAACTAGCTGAAGAAAGAAAGGGAGGCAAGCACCATCTTTGTTAGGTACTGTTTATTTTCAGGAAAGCTCAATATCCCTCATAGAGATTGTTTCAGCCACATCTCAAGTCTGTTCACTCCTGTTCCAGGGCAAAGAACACTACTAATGATTCTTCTTAGAACAGTAGACCTTGAGCTGCTCCTTTTCACCAACAAACGTAACTCTTACAAAAAAAGAAATAGAACATTTCCCTCTCCTAGATGTCCTAGCTGTTTTAAAAAAAAAAAAAACTTGTGCCCTTTCCTGTACAGGGATCAGAGCAGGAGACACCCAGACTTTGCTGATGCTGTTAAGCTCAAACTCTCATTTGAATGCCTTTCCTAAGCAGAGCTCCAGGGTGTATTACTGCAAGCCATGAACTGCCTCATTTCCATTTTCTAACTCCTACCCTTAAAAAAAATTCTGATCTCCATGCACAGGGTTACAGCCTTCCAACCCCCACCCAACACTAACAAAATCCCTGAACTGGGCTGAGCTGAAGGTAATCCAAAGTTTCAGCCCATAATTAGGTCAGCGGTTGCCATATGCTATGAACATGTCACCTTCCTACTAAGAATAGTCTCAGGCCTAGGCAGAGAAAACAGAAATATGACTTTAACATATTAAGAATGAGCTAATCTGCAATAGATTTTAGCACCTGTTTTACTAGGCTTGTGAAATCTCCGAGTTTAGGGAATGCTATTAAACTCCCTCAAAGAGCAGGGGCAGCTAAGAGAAGCAGGTGCTTTCTCCTAATCCAGAGAAAATGATTTCACTAAGAGCTCCTGAGCTAGGGAGGACAGAGCAAGTAAACCCACTGGCTTAGAGACCACTCCAGCACAATGAATGACAATACTACAGCTCCTGCAAATTCACTTATCCATTTCAGCTACTTGTTTGTATCTTACACTAAGTGATGAAGCTATTCTCTCCCTTACCTGGCATAACTTCTCATTTAACCGGGCTCATTAGGAAAAAGGCTCTATAACACTTTAAAGTGAATAATCACATATTAGAATCATCATCATCAGAAGGACTAGATGCTACACAGTTAGGTCAAACTGCTTTTCAGATTAAGGTGTTAACACTCTACCTGATCAGGCATGTGAAAGGGACAGGGCAAACACCAAGTATAACCTCCCCCCCTCCTTATGAGGCATTCAAGTTTCCAGTGCAAATTACCATCATTGTGAGGCTCTTCCTTTATCAGTGTGACCTTTAACACCATTATCCATCTCACAAAATTCAGCTATTGTGTTCCAGCTACTGTGAATGTGTCAAACTGGATTTTAGGGAAGGAAGCAAGGAGCATTGCCTTGTAAGATGAGTCTTGACCTCGCCAGAGAAAACAGAGCACTACTGCCAGTCTTTCAAGTCTTCACACCTCTTCCTTTCGCAACTCAGATTTCCAGGAGTTGTCTGAAGACACCCAGGACAAAGAAAGTTTTGAAAATAAGAAACAGCTCAGTTCCAGGTATGACAAATAATATTTGCAAGACAAATACATACAAAACATACAACTTCTACAGGACTGACTATATACATTTTCAAGTATCAAAATACATCAGTGCCAGTGCCTTATTTAGGTACTGTTGCCTCCACCCCTCTTTCCAGAAGCTCCTACTTTCTGCAGCCGGCTAGCACTTGGTTGTCGAGGCATCCTCTGGGCAGATCCTTCCCGGCTGCTCCTTTCTGCTAGAACCTGGGTCCCGCTGACTGCAGAACTGCTTTTATTTCTCCCTGAATGAACAAATATACACGTTAATTTTGAAATCCCAGACCCGTAAGTCAATGACACTGCATCTAAGCTGCAAGCGTTCCTTGAGAATTCATGCAAAAGGCAAAGTTTTATTAGATGTCACAAATTTATCCAGCATCCAACACAAAGCAAATTTGTGAATTCAGCTCAACAGACATCAGGGCCACAAAATCAAAATGCATTGCAGTAGGAGCATTATTAATTGTCATCAATTTTAATCCACAAAGTAACCAACCCCTGCATTCTTTAAATACAATTTCTTTCACTTTGCACAGGAACATCAGCATTGCAGACAGCAATTCAAGAACATCATGAAGAGCATCTAACACCTCGTAGCTGGGATAAGTGAACCAATGTGCCAGTGTCCACGTTTTTCTGAAGCCTGCAGTCACATCACAAACCCATCTGTTCAAGCCACTTTTGCAACTTGATGAGCAAATCTGGATTTCCCATTATTTTCTACAGTTTCCCAGCAGCTCCAAATCCCATAGAGAACTAGCTACCCAGATTTCCTTATTCTGCTCAGAATGTAAAAAAGTTGCCTTTTTATAGGCACAGCTGACCGTCTCTATAATGAAATATGACAGCAGAGAGAAGCAGTAGGTAGAGAGATGCAACTTAGGGGAGGCAAGGGACATCCAGTCCATCCTGCCATATTCAGCCTGAAGAGAAAGAGGAACAGAATAATCTATGCTGAAAAAAAGACAGACAGACAGGTGGGGAAAACTGAGCAAGAGGTGAAGTGAGCAAGTCTGACTTTTCCTGGCACTGGAGAGAACTACTTCAGATGAAAAGCAGCATTTGCATTGCAAAAGGTAACAGAAATACAAGCACAGAGAAACATGAAGCAGAAAGGTGACACAGTCACAACTTTACAAAAGATAAAGTTCCAAGAAGAATCACAAAAATGCATACTAGTAAGGAGCAAACAAAAACAGGGATCCAGTAAGTAGTTTTTTCCTGAATACCTCTAGTTATACCAATGCAATTAAAATGGAAAGTGACACGTTGGTAATTGTACCAGAGCAACTTCCAAAATACCAGTAGCTACTCCACATGGGGGAGTCTCCATGGGTATGGTTTGGAAATCATTGTCTTGGCTCATTCACTATACTGACAGGACAGCAGACCATAGACACATGTCTGTTTTACTTACCAAACTGTCCTCCCTCCTTCAAGCACTGTTTAAGACTAGGACTCGTGTCAAAACCACAAATTAACTCCTTGCAGCACTGGAAAGAGACCCTGAGAGCTTCCAAATAAGCATACATGGCCCCTTCATATCTGTAAAATTTGACAGACTATGGTGGCAAAGGAAATAAATTCACTTATCCCAGCCAAGTCAGGTGCTCTTAAGAAAATCTATTATTGTAATAGTGAACTGCCAGCAGTTATCAGCCCAAGCCAGCCAGCCTTGCAATTTTTCTTCTTAGCTCAAGCTCATAAGCAATTTTTACTAATAAGCAATTTTTACTAATGCAAGTGTTGTCCATGAAAACAAACAAATTGCACAAAGGTAATACATGATCTCACACTATTTAAGTGAAAAATTGGCAGGAACAGAGCATTAGAGTTCACCATGATGCTTTTAGCAACCCTGTATATCTATATAGGTGAATGCCCTCCCCTTCCTTACATGCACATATCCAGTAAGAGTGCAGGTCCAACATGTGCACAGCATTACTCTAACCATGTGCACATACAAAACAACTGTACCATTAAGTGCTACAGGGAGTCCTTGATCTTCTGACCTAGCTGAAACTACTTGCGGGGGGGGGGGGGGGGGGGGGGGGGAACTTTGTGAG